TGCTGGCAGTAATGTAGTATCTTTGTGATAGTAAAGATCAATAAACATACAGTTTTCTAAAGATAAGATGTTCCCATCTAATCTTATAAATTCCCAAGATAATGTTTGTAATGTAACTAATCCAGATAATCCTAAACAAACATTTGCATTCTTACTCTAATGGGACTGAAACAACTATTGATTATTTAATTGCATAATAAAATATTCACCTTCTTCTTCGATTATTGAATTAAGAACAGTGGGTACAGATGGAGTAACTAGAATATGATGATATGGTTGTACATGTGGTTTTATATTTGAAGGAATTTCTGACTGTATTTGATCTAGTACCCTTTTGCAAGCAATCAAATCACTTGAAACCAAAAAGATGTGTTGAGAATTTGAAAGCTTCAAGCCTTGCTCCATTTTATAAATCTTTTCAACGCCATAACGTCTAAGTAAAAAATAATATCATTTAATATCTGTTCAAAAAGTAACATGCCACATTAATTTAAAATAATTACTTGAGTACAGAAACTCCTACAAAACTGTCCAAAATTTTCATAAGTTTCTGCTCTATCACTAAGTCTTTGGTTCCGGGAATCGCGTCCAGTATTTCAACAAGTTTTCGTTGACTTATTTGTTGTAATACATTCAATCTATCATCCAACGTGATGTCCATATCTTTTTAATATATATTATAAATTTCGATAATTTGATAATAAGTAGTAACAAAATTATTTAACCACTATGAGTTATAAAGATGCTGCATATTTTTGTTCGATGACATGATATCGATGTAAAGTTAAAAACTATAATGGAATTCCAATGTTTTATTCGTCTATCAAAATTCTTTTGAACTGCAAGTGATTTTCAAACCACATCACATTAAATTGATACTTCTTTTAAAGGAAGCATAACAAACAACTCGACTAGTGCACCCATGTGGCAGAGCTTCGTAAACCGGAGTGAAACGTATTTTCCAATCCTTTCAATACTCACGCGTATGCGTATAGTATCTCAGTAGGGTTATTTAAAAATGGCGGACGCATCGTCTTCCGATACTACCTCAGATTGTTGCTATGAATGGTTCTCTGATATTACTTCCGAAAAATCGGAATACGTGATAGTAGGTCAGAAACCATGCCTGTCTCATCGACGCAGTAAAAGACATTTCTTACAGAAGCTATTTTTAAGAGAGGTAATGTTGCTTAACCTTCAACTTACTACGAGCGTTAATGAAATTGACAGACCCTAAATAACTGCCAAAATTCTGTGATAATGTGAAAAAAAAAGGAAAACAATTAAGACATGTCCAGGAAGAAAATTTAAATCGTTCCTCGGTGTTGTATGCTTGTTGTTAAATGATACATAGTGTTTAATATTTTATGGATGCAAGAAAAAATGTGCTTTTGTTCTTGCTCATGAAGTTTTTTAATCTCTCTTGTTTGTTCTCTACTATAAATTAAATGAATTAATGATTACATGATACCTATAAGAAATAGAAATTAAAAAAATATAAGAGCAACAGTGATCTATTAAAATTTGTTAATTAGAGAGGAAGAACGATGAGGGTATTATAAAAAAATATTAATTTTTACAGATCAGAGGTTGTTTATCAGCGCACAACTATGCCTCAGAAGAAAGACTGTTTGCTACTGTACCTTCATGGAGACACTTACCATTATTACATGTAATCCCAAAATCAGCACTTGAAGCAGGGTATGTTTATTACATGCGTAAATTTATATCACGAGGAAATGTAGTAAAATGAGAAAATGTTCATTCATTGAGAATCTTGTAATAACAATAATTATTATTATTGAAGACACATTGTAATGGGATTGACACAATGTGGTCAGTTTTTACTTACATACACATATACCATGGATGTGAGTGGCACTACCTCTTTGTACAAATACTTGTTACATTGGTGGGCCTTTACTCCAAATCATGTTGCACGTAAAGTTGCAGAAGTCACGCTTTTTGGTAATTACACTATCTACAGAGAACTTAGTATTGTTATATCTCAATGGCCACTGGAGAGGAATAAACTAGTGATACATGGTCTTTGGTAAGATTTCATTTAATTATTTTATTTATCAGATAAGTCTTCAAATTTACAAAGTAAATTAAGTAATTTATGAAGTAAGTGAAAGTAATTAATAAACATAAATTTCTAGTACAAATTGGCTACACCTTCAACCAACAGATAGAGCGTACTTAACAATAACTACAGTACCATCTCTTGAAAATTGTAAGGACTGTTTGAAAGTCGCAGCATCCTATGAAGAAGAAGGTGAAGGTAATATAACATTACATGTATAAAATGCATTGCAGTAAATTAAAAAATATTTGTTTGATTTTTTACAGAGCTTGCAGCAAACTGGGATGGTTGTGTACGGTGTAATTGTCTTCAACATGGACTCACTGTCCATACCACCTATGAAGTAATTTCTCCATATCCTAGGTTCCGTGCTACTGTCTGTTTGAATTACTGGAATCATGTGGTAGTTAACACAGGCAACTTTTTACATGTGCTCAGGGTGGACTTGGACATTCCAAAATCAAAAAACCAGAAGTCTAGCGATAAACAGGATACTGTAATTCCCGACACAGTGCCGTTAGACATGAGTGATGTTGAAGAATTGGATTACACAAAGACAGTGGAACGTTATGAGAGTTCCGACGAGAAAGTAGGCACACCCGAATGTGCGGTGGATCAATCGCCGCGATGCGAGTCGAGTATAGAACATGACTTTTTAGAAGAACCAATTAAATTAGATGATAAGTTAGGTCGTGATTCATTAAATACCTCAAGCAGCAATCAAAGCGACTGTGCCTGTGATATAAATAAGTCTGCTGATGTCGTAGGTGTTAAGTCGTGCGAGTGTTCCGACAGCATCGAGTGTAAATGTCGAAACGGTAGTCCGATCTCACGAACCGAACAGCAAGCGATCTCTGTCAGAGACAAAATCTTACAGGACTTCTGTGAGGACATGTCCCAGGAACTCAATATCGGTAGTGATCTGATCACACTAGTGAAGCATCCCTCGTGTTCCCCACGGTCTACACCACAAAGACTTCCTTCCGATCTCAAAACTATGACATGGTCTTCGCCAATTCTCACGCCACCCTCAGACATCTTGAGAACCCGGAATTCAGAGTCTAGTCATAAAAGCACGCGCAGTCAACGTTCTAATTCTCCTCAACCTGGCGCTTCAAAGGACAGCAATGTCAGTTCTGTTAATTCTCCTCTTCATTCGGTCTCTATAAGTCCATCCTCTTCATGTTCTTCGCGGTTAATGTCACCTCCTGTGTCACGATCCTTTCGTCATCCAAGTCCACGCAAAAGATCTAATTTACATTCTCCTCCTCCCATTGTGAATTCAACGCAGTCGAGGACAAGAGCTACGCATAAGCTTATCCTCGAAGCTGAAAAGGCGTATGAATTTACGGACGAAGCGCAAGAGACTTGTGAAAAGCTCAGCTCATTCCGGAAACGAAGACTTGCTGATAAGAAGTACGAGTTCTGCGACGAAACTGAGGATGCCGAGAACATAGTTCCTTTCAAGCATATACGGGATCAATTTAAACATCGTGGCTGTTCAATACATCAGATATCGTCCTCTCCTACAATGTCACCCGCACTGCCAAATGGTAAGAAGCATTGGGTGGATTCCGATCAGAGTGAAACGGATGATTTCAGCGTTACTCAGGATATTGGTTTGTCGAATGATTTAATCATTGATTCAGGTAAACTGAATTGTCCATATCGAGGGAGCACTTCGATCTTATTGATAGATGAAGTCAATAATGTTATTTTAATTTATTAGCGGAAAAAAATGTGCTACGTCCATTGAATCAGAATCAACTATCCAATGGAGGCATAAGTAGAGATCGTTCTAATAAGCATTCTGTTAATTCCTCGCCATTAGTTCCAAAAATAAATTTACAGTACCCTAGTATAAAATGCACTGCACATTTCAAGAGAAGTTACATAGAACTTGATGATGAAATGATATCAGTTATTACAGATGTTGAAGGTATATTATAATTTCTATTATTTTTTGGTAATTAAAATAAAAACAAACAAGCATAAGCATTCATATATATATACATTTTACAGATGAGGAAACAGGAGGATATGTGAGTTACCAATGTGTGCTTCCTATGCATGTCCATGGATCTGGTTATGTTCAAATGCAAATGATTAGCAATAGCAAAGCTGAAAAATTGGTATTATGCTTAAAATTTGAATGATTTTATTCAACAATTGATAAGATAAATTTAAACAATTATCGAATTTTTAGATAGTACCATGCGTTTCGATAAATCAATTAAGTTTCGATATTGAGACGTTCTCTCATCATATTGCAGACTGGATTTGTATGAGATTTAAGAAGAAATATTGGCATTGTAGTGATTATGATATAGAAATAATAGATGTGTGCGCGTTAAGTGGTGACATTATCTGTCTATTAATAATGAAGATACAGGCTAGTGAAATTAGTAGTCAAACTCAATGGTTCGTACTAGTTTATGTTCAAGAATTTTCATTATACCTCAAATACTTATTTTGGTGAAATATAGCTCTCAAGAGAGAACACAGTATGAAGTGGGATGCAAATTCACATGGAACATTAATACAAGCCAATATAGGATAACTGATATATTACCATTGGAAGAAGTAAAAACCGAATCGTGGAAGCCAAATTGTATGAACGTTCCAAATTTTCGTAGTCCATTATGGAACCCGACCAGACGTTTAGCGCCAAAATTAAGGGAAAAGATACAACAACCATATGCGCACACAGTACGATTTTTGCATAATGAAATGACTTTGGCAGGTAAGCGTTCCAAATGAAGTAAACATTATTTTAAAAAATAAAAAATACATGATATATTTTTTAGGTGAATCTATAACTAGACTTTATGATTTGGATAACCTGGTGGAATTTTACATAACACCGATGCCAAATTACTCTTCGATCGAGTAAATAATTATCGACTAAACGATATGTCGCAAATAATAATTTATTTAGTGTTACAAATCTATGAGTTTCATCATCAATAAGATAGCGTGTACAATATACTGAATGTATTGGAAACATACCCCATACACTTATGATACTATTTCAAAAAATTATTAATTCCAAGCGTGAATAGCAACAGATGTAACACGTTGTATAGATTCTTACTGTGCTTTTTTCACGAGACTACCTAAATAAGTTGATTGTTAAGTGCCGCTATAATGGATTGTTCAAAACTTAATGACATAGACTAAAGATACTGAATAATAATACAACGAATATTACAAGCAGTTTGCTTGAACTTTGTAAATTATATTCTAGCGCTATATATTGATTATCTATATATTATAGATAAACTTTGGTAATTACCAGATATAAGTAACTAAGAACTGATTGTCAATGAATGTATTGTATATGGTCTCAAAGAAATGGAATAACTAGTAACAAATTATTTAGTACTTGGTCCCAAAATTAATTAGCAAAGGAAAAATATATCTCAACATACTTTCTAATTAATTTTTTATGCTAAAAGTTGCTCTAGTTAGATTTATAGAATTAAATACATTTATTTGCGTTTTCGCGTTAACTTCGCGTAACCGTGTTGTATTATAAAGCCATTTTACCATAAACCTTTTTATATCTGGAAAACTGAAATACATATATAAATGTGCACAACGTGTGCGACTAATCACTGTATTGTAATGTATATAAGTACCGATTGTACTTTCTACAAAAAACATTTAAGATTTGAGAGATAAAGTTATTTAATTTGCTGAAGCAGCGACAATGAAACTGGAAAGGTCAGTTTCTTAAATGCAATAAAATATTTGTCATTACTGGCGAAGGATGGCTTTAAGTTTCTTACCTTTATAAATGCATAAGATAATTACTATCTGTATGTATGAAAGTGAAAGATTATAGAATTCAAACGGGAATCTTGATAGGTGGTCCTACGCTAACTTCGGATCCTATTCCATCCAGTTTCAAACCAGTGAGAATTTCTTCCCATGCACTCATACACTGCTGATAATGTCGAATTTGTCGATCTGCCATTGAAATTAACATATTTTTCAAATCCATTTGTTTTTCAACGTTCCACCTTTGTAAATCACTTCGAAGATTTTCGTTCGCGCATTCTACACGATCTTGCAATAATTCTGTTTGCTTTGCTAGTCGTGGAATAGTTTGTCCGAGTCTTTCTAATTTTTCGTCACGGGATTCTGCCTTCCAAAGTGATCCACCCCAATTTTGGGTTGAAGAATTACCGCTTGTAAGACCCATTAGCTATTTGAATAATTAGTATCATAAAATATCGCAATTTATTAATAATAACTACATTTAAAAACAAAATGTAAAGTGCACCTGATCTTTCTCTAATCTTTTCTTTGCTAATTCTTCAACGGTCATTTCGTATTCAATTTGCATTGAGTCCCGTCGGGATAAAGCATTTCTAACTGCATCTACATATGAAATGTATTCTCGTTCCTCGTTCGTTACGTTTTCTAAGAGTTTCTGATGAGCCACTGCATTACATTCTATTGCTTTAGCAATAGCTAACAGAAAGGAAGCTAATTCTGGCTCTGAAGTTGCCCATAAGGTGAAAATTGGATGTAATTGATGCAATTCCAGCAAGTAGTCTAATAAAACATAATTTAATTGAGATCATAATAAAAAGTAATTAATATAACGAGTCAACTAATCTTTGGTTATACCTTGCCTTTCCTTATGTATACGATGATTTATTTTATCTACAGTTGCTAATTTTTCGCTAAGAGCTGTACAATAATCCCGAATTTGCTCAAATTCAAAATGACGCTGTTTCATGGTATATGTGCTTGCGATATTTTGCAGAGAATCAGTCATTTTAACAAGAACATTTCCACGATTTTTACGATGTATAAGAAATTCCTAAAAAATATGGAAGTACAATATTCAAAAGTATATTGAAGAAATAAATATATAAGAGACAAAAATATTCTTACTGCAGGTTTAGTAGTCAGAAAAATGTACAGATTTTTGTCACAACTGAGAATTGGATGATTCACAACTCTGTTAAGAAATACATGTAACAACTTCATGCGTGCTATGATAAATTCTTTGGAATAACGATCTAACTGAGCAAGTAACGTATGTTTTCCAGGCATTGGCTGTAATAATAATATTAATATTTAATCATTCTCATAAGTTATGAAACTATCCTGGGGATAAGTAAGTAAACATAGAGTTAATATGGTTCAAAAATATATAATGGCTCACTGGTATGATATGTGTAGGATATAAATCCACTAATTTTTGTCGCAACCAAATAAAATCATTGTAACGTCTCCTGACAATGTATTCTCCTTCCTCAAATTCTGGTCTCATGGACTAAAATGATGCAAAAAGTTTATCATTCTATCAATGCCCTTTATCAATGCTGGTTTATCGTCCTCTACAGATATATAACTATAAACTTGAAATAAAACTTACTTTTGTTGTTATACGAAAAGTAATATAAGTTTCAAGCGTTTCAAGATGCTTTTGAGGATTGTCTACTTTTACTTGTAGATCTCTAGAATCTGTTTGAAAATCTGATATTTCTTGCTCTGGTAGAGTAGAGAAACTGTCAATGGAGGGAGAAGCTATCTGGAAATAAAAGTTGCATTAAATAAAACACGATACTAAACGTAAATAATTAAAGCTATTAATTGTATATAGTAAGACATTATGCAAAACTCGTGATTTTTATTTCTGTATCATTGTAATGCAGTGACTGTCAAAGATATTACAGGTTATATCCTCACCACAGAACCCTCGACGGACGTGCTACAATTCGAAAGAAAATCGACATCGCGGCTTTCCTGCTTAATAAGACCGCCGACTGCCATTGTGCTTACTTCTAAAATTGCAGAATCTTCCACATTCTTTTCACTCAAGTTCTCTACCTCGATTTCCGAAGAGGTCATCATCTTTAAACTGTCAAGCAACAGACACACAGCTTTAACAGCACTGCGTCCTGCGTCACAATGCGCAGCATTAGGTCAATCACGAGTACGATACGCACATTGATCATGTTTTAAAAACTGGAGGGCGGTCAACAAACAATGACGAATCTGTATCTTTTCAGGCCTCTAAAATCCTAATAAGATGTCATTCTATAAGTTCTAAGTTATCATAAAAGTACAATTATTTATAATAAATATGATGGGAAAGTTGGAGGAAATGTAGATGAAGCCGACGGTGCTCCGAAAGACGAATTAGAACTTTCTGATTTCGAATGATGATAACTTCCAAACGATTTATAAAAACATATTGCTCAAATTGTCAATTAATAAAACGCGACAAATTAAGGCAAATATTCCATGAAATATGTTTTTATAGTTATACTGTAACTTACTTTTGAAACAAGAGGGAATGTATTGAATACGAAGAATTGCCGCTATATTTCATCCTTTTTTTATTTAGATGACGTTTCTTCGATAAAATATTGGTTGTACCTTTATTTGCCTGATGCCTAACTAGGATTTTAGATGTCTGAAGGAACACGAATTTGGTATTTTTTGACCATCCTTTTTTTTGAATATAAATAATTTTCACGTAATCAAATTAATCATTATTCCACATTACAATCTATAAGTGTTACAATTTATGGGCACTTTTTCTCTTACTAGATTCTTATAACAGAAAAATCGTATATTGTTCTCTCTGTAATTGAAGAACTATAATCTGATCTTCGGTTGTTATAAAACGTGGTTGAAAAAATTTACGACATTCTGGAGTAAAGAGCAAATAATTTACGCCCGTGGAAACCGTATCTCGGGATACAGTCGACAGATTTTCCCGCGATTAAAACTCTAAAACTTTGGCGTGTACTTCGCAAAAGTATGGAGTGGCAGGAAGAGGATGAATACAATTCCATTTTTTCCAAGAGATATTCCATAATGATGGCGGAAGAATCCTCATTGCCGATTATTTATTATCGATCTCAAAATTTGTTGCCAAGTGAGTTTTACATTTACATATTTCCTACACCTGTCAGAAGGTTAAACGTGCAGCGAAAGTTTATTTAAAATATAACATTTTTGTCATTGAGTGTAAACATATTTAGTTGTTTTAGGAAGATCTCGTTCAGGTTATTCGTTTTTGTTACGATAATAGTAATCACTAGACTGCGGATTTTTATGCATTTTTATATTTTTATGAACATAACTAAAGAGATAAAATCCCAATCAAATTTCTAATTTAAATAGAAATTTGTTTCATCTACTATCAAATATTATAGTAAATATCCTATTTTGGATATTTTATATTTTTGTGCACATTATATACATTGTGCGTTATGATGTATTTTTGCATCATCAGACTTCCCATAGATGTATAAAAATCCGCAATTAGTAATTATATTTGTGCATGATTGGTCAGTTATTTACAATCTCTCACTCTTCGACAATTTCGAACAGCGCGCCGCGTGAAAGCGCGGTGTATTTGTATGATCGATTGATTCAAACGAATTAAATGCAGATTAAGATGAATTAAAGATACTCTGACATATTGCATATCCAATCGAGTAAAAATCAGCGGCTAATCTAAATGATTATTCATCGGAGCAAAGCAAATGTCATAATGCAGTTAGTCGGTATCACGTATAGGCTGCGCATTGATATGCGATTGCGCACACATACACTAACTGCTATGTAACACAGTTTCTATTTATGAGTTACATTTGCCGTTTTTCGAAAAGGGGATTCCTATGGAAAAAAACCTGGAGTTAAATTTTATCTAAACGAATGTTATAGATTTTAGTGATTTAATCGAGTCCGACTGTTAATGTCGAAGAAGGGCACGCGCGACATTATTCATAGGCGTATCAATAATTCTATAGACCCGGTTCAAGATTATTCAAGAATAATTTTTTACTTGATTTTAATCGACTATTAATAGACGCGGCTTTTATGCGTTTATAAGAAATTTGAAAGCGCAGAATTGCACAAAATGCACGTAATACGAAAAAATGTATGAAGTATTCAAAGTATAGTGCCTTCTGTAATACTTGATAGTTAAAAGAATTTTTTACTGAGATTCTACTTTTTAAATTATATTCTCAAAAATATAAATTTACATAAAAATCCGCAATCTAATTACTAAATATCATTATGTGTATTGCGGGATATGTAACTTATAGGATAATTTTAACTATGGTCCCGATAGAAGTGCTTGATCACGTAACATACACAAAACCTAATACTAATTAAGTTCACTATCTATCAAATTAAACTTGAAGATGGCCGAAACTTTAATAAAATATGGTTTAAAAAGAACGAATACTATTTCGTTTACTCTAAAGTACATTTACTTATTATATCTTACTAATTACATATATATAGTAGCTCGCAAAAATATTTGAACACTGAACACAAAACTGTTTTTATGAATATATTATACGCGTTACATAGACCTTTTTGAAAATTTGTTAGCACTGTAATGAGACACAATTATTGTGATTATAATTATAGAGTTCGAAATCAATTTGAAAATGTATATTAAAGTTACAAGACATTTATTGCAAACATACACTTAGTAAAGAATTAGTATACAGAATGAATAGTAATCTTAAACATAAAATTAGTGCTAAACATGGTCTGGTAAAATATTATGGCTTATTAATATAGAAAATAATTGATTGTTAATACTGTGCTTATCCTCGCAAAGTGTATGTTTCCAATAAATATCTTGTAACTTTTATGCACATTTTCAGATCTGTCTCAAATTTTACCAATATGAGTCACGATAGTCATGTTTTACTATAGTAATAATGAAATTTCAAAATGTTTTTTTATAATATATACATAAAAGTTTCTAAGGATATTCGAATACTTCTGTGAGCGTATGTATAGAAGAAGAATGAGGAGAAGGGCGAATTTAACAATATTTAGAGAAAATAGTGAGCTTAATCAGAAAACGTTGATTTGAAAGAATAAAATTTAAAAACATAAAAGGGTATATTCTGAAAGAGCATAAATAATAGTAGTAGTTTGTAGTATTGGTTGTTTTGTATATTGTATAGGGTAGTTATAACACCCTAAGGTAAACGAAGATTAGGTACGGTACTGGTTGTGACGCGGGCAGTGATGCCGTAGTCAAGGCGACCGCAGCAGCAGACAACCAACACTCCGACCAGCCGTCGACAACAAAATATACAGGTTTGTCGGAGTGTGCTGCTCCGCTTTTCCACTTCTACGGTGCCTTGGCTGTCCGCGTGGTTTCCTGGGTGACAACTACGGCAGTTCCTTGAACGGGAAAAGCCCGATTGAAATACGTGGGGGGACACGTTCGGTCGCGCAAGTGCGTCCGGGCGTCGTGTTGAAAGTACACGCCATTCATGAAGACAGGTGAGTAAAAAAGAAACGTATGAACCGCGCTTTCTTACGATTCTAATTACTATTGTTTATGCGCGTGTTCATAGAATTTTCCAAACACGATTACGGAAAACAGAACGTAACGTGTTCGAACATACAGCGTACTAGCGTCTTATCAAACTCTGCTATATTATTAATTTTATCATCTGCAATATGTATTTGTATAGTGACAGTTGATACAATTTGATTATTCATAGTTGTAAGTTGAACTATCCAAATAACTGTGATTTATGGTTCTGAGAATTTTTTCACGTTTCATAATTGTATTTCTTAATGCAGAGTCATCGTACTATGAACATTCATACGTTACTCTTTGGCCTTTTTATGTGAAGATTTGTTGAAAATGTTCACACTACACTGTTAAGACTATGAATCGTTTGGTTGTTTAGACATTTACAGAAAAAGATTCTGGACCAATTAGATTAATCCTCTGATTTGAAAATTTCATTCCTTTTAAAATGTTATATTTTCTGTGGTCAGTATATCTTCTAAGTATTTGCTGTAGCAAAGATTAATTAATTTCTCCCACATAGAAAATCATTGCAGATTTCTTGCTTTATATATTCCCCTATTGCATTACGCTTTGGTGATTTTATTGTGCACCCTACCTGGGGGATATCTAATATTTGGAACCCTGTGTAGCATTTAATTAAAATGGGCTTATCAATGTACTTCTTGAAGCATGAAAGAAAAAGCTCACCTTCAGCCATCTAATTATTTTAAAAATGATGCTGCAATAAACTTAAAATTTCAAGTACTGCAATGTTTCTTGTCCAATATGTTTATAGATTATGTTTATAAGATACTTGTAATATTAAGATATTTGAAAGTATATAAATATATGTGATATTATATATGGGGAACATGCAATGTAAAGTAACAAATAAGGTGTGCTGCAGAACACTTTCAGGCATCAGTCATGCAGTCATGCATAACAGAGGCCAGGTGCATACACAGTATGCTTTCTAATGAAACCACCATTTTCTAGAATAACATAATACCTGATATCAAATAATATATTTTTCATATATTTTTTTCTCAAATTAACTATTACATTAATAGTGTCTTAATATTTTTATGTTGATATTATATTTGCAAAGAAAACGATTAATATATCTTTTTTCAATAGAATATACAATAAGAATTTCTATATCCTATTTTTTTTCTACCATCGAAACTTTTTCACGGGTACGTAGGCTAATTATAAAATTTATTGCTATTGATCAGCAGGGAGTTTTAATACTCTCTAATTGCACCTATGATCCGACCTTTCCTATCGATGCTTTCAATCCCCTTGACAAGAGTTCTATGTCCATCCACGCGTATGCTACATTTTAGCCACTACCCCTCGCCCTTTCGTTTTCTTCCCTTTGAAACATTGTTTGGTACCTGTCACCCTACAGGTACAGGGTGTACCAATACATCTTGCTACACATACGTCGAAACGACAATGCCGTGTTTCATTCGAGCGCTCTTTGAGGCTTCTCTTTGATCTATAGATTATTGAATGCTACACACCTGCGAGAAATTACGTAGGCGATTCTTCTTATATGTAGGTTAGGGTGCCTGTTAATCTATCGCTATAACTAACATCCGATTCGCGGGTATCACCGTTCGATTATGTTCCCTGCTTCTGCTTATCAACGTATACAATATGTATTCTGAAATTTATTATAATAAAAATGATTAACTCTACTATATTGTTATTCTTTCGATACTTATACGATCGTATTTGTTATACTATAAAAAATAATCAATACATTCTTGCACATTGTATAATACATCTAAACAGCAAAATATACATCAAATTTTTATTCATTTACGAAATATTTATCTTTCTCATTTTCATTTAAAAACTTTCCAAAAAGTAGTACATAATACTTGTAAAAAAGTGGAATAGTTTGTAACAATCTATAGATTTTATAGTAATTTTGCTTCCTTTATTTATGAATCAATTATATTTCTTTAGTGATTGCATTCTATAGAATGGCCATAAGCATATAGAAAGAATTTATAGCAGTTCTTCCTGTGCTGAGTCTGCTGGAGAACGTTATTGATATTTATTGCATTTGTATATGTATACGTCTACAGATTCTTCCCTTCACAAACGGGGAGGTAGCAGTAGTGGTGATACAGTGGGAGTAGAGAGAGGTGAAGGAGTGATTGCCATGACTACGACAGGAGCCCAGTATGCCCTCGCAGCATCCACCAGAGCTAATAACAGTGGGGGTAGCTCTACAACGGTGGGGGTGGAACCTAAGCCAAGCGTTGTTGTCGTGACTACTTCCAGCTCCAGTGGCAGTGGTAATGCAGCACAGAGTCAGTCTACGAGGGGACAGCAACTTATTACTGTTGTTACCAGTCCTGATCCTTCCAGTCCAAATAATCTACAACCTATACAGGTTTGCTCAACTACATAGTATTAGTAATTCTCTATTTGCTAAAAGATTTCCTCTTTTAAAGAACTTTTAAAGAAATTCTTTTCATGATGTATGGAACCTTACATTTATCAATTATATATATGTTTGATATTATTGGAAATGAAGAAGCTGTGTTAAATATTTATATTATTATATAGAAATTTACCATTGATCCTGAGAACATGCATACTATAAATAATAATTTAGTTATTGGTTCAGGATCCGCTTGAAACAGCTGCAGACTCTTCCAACGGCTCAACAGGTACTCCAGCGCATGTTACAGCACAAGTTGTAGTGAATACTACCCATTCTGGTCAGCATACTCTTGTTGATTCTGACGCTGCATCCACGTCTGCTGGTACCATTGTCAGTGGATCTCCGCATTTTATTACAGTAACAGGTGCGTTTCGAGCCAAAGTTAATTTCAATTCAGCTGTTAGTCGCAAAATTGCCGATTGCCAAGTCGAAAATTGCAAAACGTTCAAATTTGAGAACTTGGTTTTAAAAAATACCGTTGATATATATAAAAGGAAATCGCGATAAGTTGTCGAGAGACTCCTTATAAGTATATGTTAGGGGTGAGTATCAGGATCAGTTTGAAAAAAAATTATAGTGTTTGAGTAGAGATTTGGCCCTTTCCATGCTGCTGAAAAACATGCACCTCTGTTCTTCTACTCTGACCACACTAGGCACCAGTGACTCACCATCCTACGCGTCCCTCACAACGGCAGTAGGTGAGGGCAGAATATAATTAGCATGCATTATTTATTTCATTACTAATGTACAACATACTTGTAAAACAGTTATGTATTATTCGTTAATATGCATTAATTAATTTTGCATGTTATAGTACGTTTTTTATATGGATGAATAATAAAGAAAAATATAAATAAATTTAAATACGTGTAGATATTAAATTTTATTTTAAGAGTGGAAGCGCTTACTTAAATGCACTCTATTTTTTCTAGTGATTGGCAAGATACAACTGCGTAACTCCTAAATATTATGCATTTCACGAAGCTTAATTCGTGTGAAAGTGTTGTTTATATAAATATATTGAAATATATCGCGTTTGTTTCAGTGTCTGGTGAACCGGAAGCGGTGGGGTCCGAGTCGGTTTCTCATCCTACCTATGTTCAATATGTTGAGGGAGATGGTTCTACGTATATACCGACAAATGGCCAGATGTAAGTATATCAATATTATATTCAATCGTTCCACTAAATTTTATAGTTTATCATTCATAGGACATACCCTGTATATGCTGTTGGAGAAGCAGGAGCGATGTATACTCCTGCGTCCAGTCAGTACTACACACCAGCAACCACACCAGTAACTTACGCTCAGGTAATTTATAAAAGATCTTATCTGCTATTAGTGGATGTAACTGTAATTCTAACATAATGTGTGGCTTTTAGTATTATCGTGAATAATATTTCATTGCATGTAGGTTACTGGTCAAGGTTCAAATTCTACAACTGGACAATTGTTATCCCAGGGCAATGGCACGTACCTTATTCAACAGAGTGTTGTAGATGGGGATCCGACAGCACACGCGTTAATATCTGCAGCCGCTGCACGTGCTAGTCCACAGACAGAAAATGCGGTAAGATAGCAATGCATGTTTATGGTTCCCATTGCTTTCAATTTCTTTGTTATTTTGCAAAACTCTGTATATATATATATATATACTATTGTTTTATATAATATAAATTTGTATCGAGTTGCTCTAGAATATTAAATAGCGAATGGTGATCTATAATGAAGCTACTTTTTCGAAATTGGGATTTAATGTGGTATTGGTATGTTGGGTGTTTGATAGGAAACTGTGGTTAGCGGGGGTGGAGGGGCATACTTGATCAGCGGTAATTCAGGAAGTACTACTGTCACCGTGGAAGATGCTGCAGCAGCAGCTGCAAATATGACGCATGCCACTAGAGTTTCCCAAGCAACAGTAAGCTGATACATAATCTCTATTTGTAAGCTTAGCTGTACTAATTTGTTGTAGCATGCAAGACTGCTTCTTTAGAGGTGCTTTATACAAGCTCAAAATTTAATTTGATTCGCCAATAATGCAAGAAAGATTTTTTCTAACATAAATATTACTAGCACGTGTGGGTGTTATATGTAGTTTGAACTAGCATTTTATTTTCTGATTTTTTATGTATATAGTGTTATATATCTGTTGTTTGTTAATAATATAATTCTGAAGTTTATAATGAATTTTATATAATCAGGTTCATTGGTTGCTTGAAAATTATGAAACAGCAGATGGTGTTTCTCTTCCAAGATCCACACTTTACAATCATTATCTACGTCACTGTTCTGAAAATAAGTTAGATCCTGTAAATGCCGCAAGTTTTGGCAAATTAATACGTTCCGTTTTTTTGGGTTTAAGAACCAGACGATTGGGCACAAGGTAAAGGACTTTATTGTTTGTTCTAAATACATTCTGCATTATATTTTAATTGTATGTTGTAAATAATTATGTTTTAATCACTATCATCTTCCACAGGGGAAACTCAAAGTATCATTATTATGGAATTCGTGTTAAACCCAGTTCTCCTTTAGTCATGCTAAATGAAGATGGAACACCGCGTCAGCAACATGGTACAAATTCGCAAACGAAACGATTCAAATTCGTGAACCAAAAACAGGATACTACATATGAGAACAATGCGCATTCGAATACGAACATTTCTTCGAACAATTCGCCGCCACAATATCATCAGTATCTGGGTGAGGCGAGTGGTGCTATTCCAGAATTTCCAGAAATAATAGTCGGACATGGTTCGTCCCTTCCGGAAGATTGCACGTTAGAGGATATTGATACGTTTCGTAGTATATACAGAGAACATTGTGAAGCCTTTTTAGATGCTGTTCTCAACTTTGAGTTCGCTACTGTAGAAAGTCTTTGGAGAGAATTTTGGCGTAGCCAGGACAATAATAATGGTGATGAATGTGAGGAAGAAAAATATTTATCAAAGTAAGATTTTTATACTCGATTTTTTAAAGAAATTTCTGAAAAACATTTTAAGACATTTTATACTGTTTATTTAGGACTAAGTTATATCAGATGTGTAAATGTTCAGAAGTTCAAGATTTCATAAGAAAAGTTGATTATACATTTTATCAAAATTTAGTGGAAGTACTAATGCCTAATGTGTTGCGACCCATACCAAGTGAGTTGAATTGATCACGCCATTATATATTTGTAATATCATTACGGTAACAATTGATGTACAATTTCCAGGTTCATTAACACAGTCTATCCGAAATTTTGCAAAAGGACTAGAATCGTGGTTGACGTCAGCAATGGCTGATTGCCCTGAAGAAATGACTCAAATAAAGGTAGTATTAGAAAATAATGAAGAATTATATCTTTTTTAACAACATTTTATTTTAGTTGACTGCTGTATCTGCATTTGCTCAGACATTAAGGCGTTATACATCATTGAATCATCTTGCTCAAGCTGCACGTGCAGTGCTTCAGAATTCTAGTCAAATAAATCAAATGCTAGCTGATCTAAATCGCGTTGATTTTCATAATGTGCAAGAACAGGTATCTAATTTATTAAGGCTTAGTAATTTAATATAAAGTGTACCTCTTCTAACACTGAAAGATGCATATATGTATATTTTGCAGGCTTCGTGGGTATGCCAATGCGATTACGCAATGGTACAACGTCTGGAAGCAGACTTTAAGGTAACATTACAACAACAAAATTCATTGGAAGATTGGGCAATTTGGTTAAAGAGCGTTGTGACTCAAGTTCTTAAACCGTTTGAGGAAAAGCCAACATTTGCAAAGGCCGCTCGACAATTTTTGCTCAAATGGTCCTTTTATAGGTAATTATTTCAAATATGTAAAAGATTACGATTAATTCCTTATATCTTTGATTATTATTTTATTATTCATTCAATAGTTCCATGGTTATTCGTGACCTTACTTTAAGAAGCGCAGCAAGTTTCGGATCTTTTCATCTAATTCGATTATTGTATGATGAGTATATGTTTTATTTGATTGAGCATCAAGTAGCAGTTGCCACAGGGACAACTCCAATAGCAGTAATGGGAGATGTGTGTATTCTTGTCAGACAATGTAAAATATAATATTTTTAATAATTATTGGATTAATAGCTTTTATTTTCTTTCAGAAAAGTCAAAATTGCTCTTTAGTTAGCGCGTTTGGGGCCACTTCTAATGGAGGTAAGTTATGTTTGCTTAATATTTTTAATGAATTTTATCCATTTACATGGAATTTGTAATTTAGAAATGTTTTTTTAGATGCATCAAACACGAGTCAACCAAAGCGTATGAAATTAAGCTAACTGCGTGCCTACGTCTTTTAGTTTTGAAAATAAGCCAGTAGCACCTGAGAATGGAACGTTAGCACAAGAGCATGCAGGCCTACTAACACACTAGTCCCATAAATTATAATTTTATATAAGATGAGATCTTATTGTATTATGACTTGAACAAAGAAGATTTTTGCATAACGAACACCCAGGATATATACAATCTAAGTAAGTTTGTGTGATATAATGTGTAGGAATATGTAATGCAATCTCGTTTCATACGAGTATATGATGCAAGTGTAACGTATCGCTGGCACGATGTTTAGTACATTAATGTATCATCTAGTCGAAACATCCTTGAAATGTGTATGGGACCATGAATTTATCATGCCCTTATAGTATTCAATATTGAAAGCTTACTCGACTATAAATTTCGTTTCCTTTGAAGCTTCCGAGCATTCCGAAAATTCTTAAACTTTACCACTAATAACTTGAACTTTGACTACCTAATGTACTTTACTTTTTAGCATGTTACATGAAAATTAAGTCGAGTGAGCTTAAAATAACAAACATCAGTTTGTGCAAAAGAAAATAGTCGGAAAGAAAGCATTTTTAACGGAGAAACCATTTTCTGCTAGAATTCATATCGACGGATTCTATTTTGCACAAATAATTGAGTAACATTTTACAAGATCCGCCCTGTCGACGGTATTGTCAAAAGAAAGAGTAAGAAAAGTAACTGTTCCTACTGGAGCAGATTCAAATTAGATTACTATAATGGTATAATCGATGCCAGTTTTAAAAATTTCCGACATTCATATTTTTTAATGCAATTTATTAATTATACATAAAGCTGCGTAAAAAAGTTCTGTTGTAAGCCGTCTGTGTGTTATACTCTATATATATTCTTTCAGTACTTTTAAACGAATAGTACAAAACAGCGATGAGAAAAGTGGCGAATGTAATGGTATAATATAATCGTTTTGATTTACTGATAGAATATACATTATAGTTCTTACATTAAATGTATATATATGAATGGTATGACAGAGAATTGCACAGTTGTTGAAATTTAATATGAAAGAGAAAGAAGAACATAAAATTGCAAATTGTATCAGTGAAAACTGTGAGTGTCTTCAAACATACTTCGCATTTATTACATAATTTTAATATATTTAACTACAAAAGATGATTTGTATTTGTAGACACTCAAGTAACTTATCTATGTAGTAAAAACTAACTAAATTTTAAGTATACATTGTGAATTTCATGTTATACTTTTTTGTTATATATGTATTATTTTATGAAAGCATGTCAAAATATGTAAGTTGTTACAAAAGTTGAAAACACACATACTTTTTTTTTTTTTATGTATGATTTCATCATTTATTGTATTTATTTATTTCAGCCTGATGGCCTAGAAATTGGATTTCGTGTTACATAATGATTTCATTATTTATGATTATGATTAGATTTAATTATATATATCACAGCCACTTCCTAAATGTGGAAATTAGCTGAATTAATGGAGATATACTATAATTATTTACGACTTACGATATGATACCAAAAGACTTATATTCTAATTTGATATGTTCATTTCTAAGCATTTTAGTGTACATTGAGAGAAAGGGAGAGAGAGAAAGAGAGAGTATAATTTGTTGTACACTGTAGGTTCATAAAAACTTATAGCTATTATTATTTGTTTCCATAAAAGTTTCATATTTCTGAATTTCTCATATTTTATGTCATATTATACATTTATTTCATATATTTAGTGACATGAACAAATATATACATACACTATTATATACTTTGAGAGAAGTACAAAGTTTCAATGAAATTGATGTGTACTGTTTGACATATTTTTTCAGTAACTTGCTTATTATGGTTATTACCAAATGTCAGAAAATTACTCTAATAATTCCATATTTATAAAACAAAAGTACTTTATTTGAGAAACTTGCGCTGAAGTAAAGTTCAATTAATGCTTGCACATTTACGGAAATGAATATTGAATATATTAAAAGATTATCTTTCAAAATTATTGCTACCTGCATGCGAGTTTACTCAAATACAGAATTGATGATGTAAACGTATTTTTTATTGCAAAACATTGCTATATAGATTGTTTAATTAGACTTTGTGAAAGCACGTTACGTATTTTACAAGAAATCGAGAATTATTATGTAAAAATATACGAATTGCTTGATTTTCTAAGAGAAATCCTGTCAGAACGTATCTCGAAATGTAGGAAATGAGTAATTGCATAAATGTTTAAATCCATTGTAGGATGCTATTCTTATTCAATATTAAATTGAAAGATAGAAACTCCTATGAACAAACTAAATGTTTGGCAAAACTTGGTGCCTTTTATTTCATACAAGAAAGAAACGAACATTTTTTTATTGTACCTTGATTATATAAAGAATCGAGGCCAAACGACCAAGATGAATGGGACAGATAGTTATGCTCTTCCTTTAGGGCTTCTTTTATAGCATTTTATTTTGTAAAAAAAGAGTTAGGAAGTTTTTTCAAAGTGATGGAGTAGAAAAGAGAATTAAATGAATGTATGAGAGGAAATGTATGCATTTTATAAAAATATTGTATCGAGCAAAAAATCGCGGTTATTTCTTTTAAATATATTTAAACGATTTTTTTTTGCAAAAAAAGATTTCTTCCAAAGTAAAATTCACTTTGTTAAAGGTCATAATAAAGGGTACTAAATACTGATCAAATTTATTACATTGCGATGTTCGTAAATAGTTTTAACGAGAATAGGATACAAATATATATATATGTATATATATATATGTATATATATATATATGTATATTTATTTATTGTATAAAAGTATTGCATATATATACTAGTCAAACTTTTTATAGATTTAAGTCGAGAACAGGGATTGAGTATCACACAGTAAATTGACCATTGGTTGCGCGTTATATTATTTGTGTGCAAAAGGAAAGGATAGAATATTTCCATAACTATAATGAGCTTATACATGTAAAAATTAATGATATGTGTACTTAGCATAAGAATGGCTTTCTAAGAAATTTCTATATTTCTTTTTTTGTCAATAAGAATTCATGCAATGATGGCAAGTATGATTGAATATAGAAATGTGTGTTAAACGAATTCATTTTCAAAATGCAGCATTTAAAAATCAAAATCAAATAGAAATGTCTTATTACATTACACAAAAACGATACTATTCAAAAAGAAATGTTTTGCACGGTTCTGTATTCATTGATACTTGCTTGTACTTTGTACTTCTTAGGTAGAATCGCTGTTCGTAAGTTTCACATAATTATCACAAAGTGCAAGCAATTGTAGTCTTGTTGTTGATGATAAAAGATCAAACTTAACACAGTTTCCTATGTTGCGAAAGAAGACGGCCTTAAATAATTCCAATTGTAAGACAGAAAAAAAGATTTACTACGTTGTTAAGAGATAAACACTGAGAACAAACGAAAAAGAAGAAAATTAAGAGATACTCTTGAGAGAGGAAAAGTAAAAGTATCGTTTTCCTTATAACTTAAAGAAAATATTTTGATACCTCCAGATTTGCACAAGTCGAGTGTCATTCATTACTGCTTAAATAAGATTATTTTTACTGAATGCAGCTCAAAACGATAAACAATTTATATAAATTATGTGAGGTGTAAGAAGCTCTAAGAACTGTGTGAATGTGCGAATCACAAAAAATTGAATAATAAATATATGTTTAAAACTTGTAAGATTGCTTTTGTTATCTAATTTGTGATGTTATCATAAGTCATTTAGTTGACGAGTATTTTTCATTAAAATAATTCATTGAGAGACATTTAAAAGAATAAAGATAACTTAACAAACTTGAAATCTATCAACCGGATACCACCTAATTTCATTTTTATGTTTATTACAAAACATGAAATACCTATAACGTAAACAATACAATAATCATTAATGTTAGACTAAGGTCTTTGCTTCAAAATTACCCGCGTTTCGCACGAATCACATGTAGACCCCAGAATCGAGTAAGTTGCTTCCTCAGTCGCCATGTTGCGCGCGGTCTGTATATTATGTAGTTGTGCGCGGTGGAACGAAATTTTCCAAATTTTTCGCAAAATTTCGAGAAGTTGAATTAGTTTTTATTCATCTCGTATATAGTATACTTTAAAGAGTAAGTATTGATATAAATAAGAGTAATTTATAATATAAAATACTATAATATCAACATAAACATTATTAATGCAGGCTAAGCTGTTTTCTCATATTATACGTTTTCTTTATCTATTTTATTCCACAAGCATTGTTAATTTGTCGAGAATTTTATTCTTTTTATTCAATTTTTACATCGACAATGAAGAATAATTAGGAAAAGATGGTAGGGATTATAATACATGAAAATTATTGTTCGAAAAGAATTCAATTTAAGTTTGTCCGTTATATTTGAATCATAACAGCACCCTCTATCGACCATTTTTTAATAATTTGAATTTTGATAGATGTTCATTTTTACAGCAAAATTATAAGCTAACTGCTATATTATTTGTATTATTGTAGACGATAGAGTAACGCGAGATATCATCTTTAAGAAGAAAATACAATAACACAAAGCAAGGAGGATTTCATCTTCCTGATTTTCTACAATCAAGATCTCACTGCATTGGTAAGTGGATAATATTGAATATTTTGAATAATTAGACCAAAGAAATTTTTATAAATACAGCTAAAGAAATGCAATGTAAATAAAAATTTATTTCATTGTCTAAATATTATAATAAGCATTTGGGTGTTTCTTGTATTCTTAGTCTAATTATTATCAGCTTTGCGCAATATCCTGCTTCTTTTGTTTCAAATTGTATTTACCATAAAATTGTGATTAATTTCAAAGAATTCGATTATTAGTTTGGCAGATACTCGAAATAAAAAATAATTTATATGAATGAAAATTAAATCTTTTTTTATTTATTATATGTATCTAACATATCTAACATATCTCACGCATTAAAATAAAATCAAGAAAAAGAGGAATAATACACATTACTTAATGTGAATAATTTTTAACGTTAAATATAAATCTCTAGACTTATACAACAATAATAATGACAAGCAATTAAAGTTGAGACAACAATCGATAGTTGGTCTATAGTTGACTAATTGGTATAGAATGTATACATGGATAGTGTATCACTGCTTTTTATTCATACATTCATACGATGTTTTGTGTATTTGCGGATAAGTAAAAGAGAAAACTTAACAATAAGCTTGATTCACTTCGCGAAATTTAGCAGAACAATTTATTTTAATAATTGAAAATCTATTAAACATTCTTTGTAAAATTAATCTTAATAGTTGTTGACACGTCAACTACTACAACTACAACTGCTACAAGTAACTAGGTAGTTCCAGATATTTCTCTTACTAGTTTTTGTTTATTATATCTATTTACAGTAAAAGGAAACTATATCTAAGGTATCGTTTATCTGTTACAACATAATATTTTTATAAAAAATTCTGAGCCATTTTGGTAGTTAGAATAATACAATTATTAAAACCATATTGTTAGTTCTTGAGGTTATAGGAAAAAGTAATTTAAACATTTAAGCGTTTTTAACCAATTTTTTCGAGATTTTCTTAGAATTGCAACGAACTTTCTCGCGTTCATTAAGTGACGCTTTTATTTTGGTAATTCATTAATTTTAAATATGTAAATCTAACTATATGTTAGATAAATTTTTTGTAGTCAGTTGTTATATGGCATTAGTAAATTTTTCTCTAATTTCAAGAAGTCTATAAAATCAATTAAAAGAATGATTGAATTTAATATATACTTTCAATTGTTAGGTATAAAATGTCTTCAGATATCATGAGCACAGATTTTAGCAAAAATAAAAATATGCTAATTGCTAGACGGTACCTTGTAGTTGATGCAAACGATATTAATGATGATAGAAGTTTACATATCTCAACTCCATTTGAAAAGTTAATTAGTAGTGAGTTGCAAATAGATGTAAAGATGGTTAATAAATCAAAACCTGATTTGGATACTGCAAAATCTTCGATAGATACTGAAGAGGATCAAACTAAAGGTGATAATAAAAAAAAAGATTAAATAAAGCATTCTTAGTGATAATAGTATCATCAAAGATATTTCATTAAAAAACATTCCTTGTGAATACTTGCCATTTTGTAGTTCATTATAATTTAATTTTCTGGTGATATTTGTTAATAGAATTTGCTATTTAGTTCGTTATAAGTATGTTGTTAGTCACTTGAATAGGCACTTTAGAACAGCTGATCTTTTAAGGTTTCCATAGAAGGAGACCTGCAAGGTCTTTCTTTCTCTCTTTGTCTTTTTAATATGATAATAAAATCAATGTTGAGCTACTGATTAAGTTATAGTGCACACTTGATACAGTAGTATATTAGTGCTTTCAGAATGCCAGTAAAATATAAAAATAAAACAAAATTTTCAAAGCGTCGAGGTATCATCATCACTTATAGAATAGTTCCTGGAAGGTCTTATCTTTACAAAAATCCATTTCTTAGAAATATTTATGAACATTTTGTACTCTAAGGTGTATATTTAAAACAAGATTGTTTTTGCTCTAGAAGTTGTTGGACATCAATTGAGATTTAGTACTCACAATGAAACTAATTATAAAAGTAGTGATATTGCTGCATTTATTCAACCAGAATATGATGCAAGCATAGATGAGAAGTTACCAGAGACAGTGACATTACTTACTACACCAGAAGGAGGAAAATTATACTTAGTAGGCACAGCACATTTCAGTGTTGAAAGCCAAAATGATGTTGCAATGGTAAATAAATTATATTTTATATGTACCAGATATATTAAGTATATTTCAAAATATTCAAGGATCATTCCAATATGTTTTCTTTAAAGATAGTAGGAACCCCCTAGTAGGATAATTAAGAACTATATTTTTTTTTTTACAATTAAAGATCATTCAGGCTGTACAGCCTCACATAGTTGCAGTTGAATTATGTAAAACTAGAATCGATGTTATAAACATTAACGAGGAAGCTCTGTATCGTAATGCGACAGACTTAAGTATTAGTAAGTTCCCCAGATTGTTTATTTAAGTACAAGTACTTTTAAGTACAAGTGCTTTTGGCATATCACTCACTTACTTCGTTTTGTAGAAAGTTTAACTGAAACAATAAGACACTATGGGGCTTATAATGGATTGTTGCATATTATGTTATACCGCATGGTGAATCATGTCGTTAAGCAACTTGGGATGCCACCAGGTGGTGAATTTCGTACAGCGTTCGAAGAGGTATACTAGAACAGACTTAAACCGAATTTAAACAACAACGTGAGATAATTACAAATTCCATGGTGCTTCTTCAGGCAAAAAAAGTACCAAATTGCATTATTCAGTTAGCGGATCGTTCGATTAACGTGACATTTCAACGTGCGTTGAGAGAATTATCTTGGTGGGAAATAATAAAACTAGCTTGGTTAATGGTACGATTAGATTCTCGTATCAATAAACAAGACGTAGAGCGTTATAAACGGAAATGTGTGATACAACAAATGATTTCATCATTGAGGGAAGAATACCCAGCGATAGAGAGAACGTTTGTCACAGAAAGGGATATGTATCTTACATACCATCTTCAGATGGCTACTGCAGCACAACACACTGCAGAAGGGCTAAAACCACCAAGAATTGTAGGAGTTGTTGGCATAGGACATATTAATGGAATTGTTAAAAACTGGGGAAAAGTAAAAGCCTCTGATATATGGCCTATTATACGGTATATATAAAGTTAACTTAAGTATTCATGGATGTATCATTATGGATACCTACTCTTCTTTTCCATATTTCTTTTTTATAGAGTACCTCCTCAACCTTTATCAAGCAAAATATTAAAGTTTACAATTAAAGCTTCCTTATTGGGAGCTACGATTTACATGGGATATAAAATTATACCACTACCTTCTTTTAATGCATTGCAATCAATCAAATCGTCGTTTGAAGGATTATTGGAGGTCAGTGCTAAGTAGAATAGCTGGAATTTGACTTTTAGAGCTCTTTATTAATATGTAACACATACTTTTTATCGGGGACAAAGAAACAAATACAAAATAATTGTTTCCTTTATTTTGTGCTGCCTATCCTTAAAGATCCTGTCAAACTTTCTTCTGGTTTTTAATTGATATAATATTGTAATAATCATGGAGGCGACTGCCTGTGCAGATGAGTACGAACACGCTATACCTGGTGTCATGTACACAGTACATAATATACCAGGTCCTGGGATAGATCTGGAAGAGTTTGAATCAGAATATTCATTAGGTTGCTCATGTACAATTCGGTGCTCCAACTGTTTCTGTACACGTGGTTCGCCGAATTATAAAGATGATTGTATACTAGATGAAAAATTATCAGGGCCAATAGTTGAGTGCAACCCTCATTGTACTTGTGGAGAAAATTGTAATAATAGAGTGGTACAGAATGGTCCAGTGGATAGTCTAGTCGTGTCAAAGATCGATGGAAAAGGACACGGTTTGTTCACGAGTAAACTCATTAAGAAAGGTCAATTCATTTGCGAATACGCTGGGGAGGTGGTAGGTATCGAGGAAGCAAGGCGTAGAGTCGAAGCGAATAAAAATAACATGAATTACGTTCTTGTCGTTTCTGAACATATCGGGGATCGAGTAATAGTGACGTGCATAGATCCTAAATATTTTGGCAATATCGGAAGATACTCCAATCACAGTTGCGATCCAAATACTAATCTTGTACCTATTCGAGTCGAAGGACCAGTACCTCGATTATGTTTGTTCGCATCCAGAAATATAGAGGTAGGCGAAGAGATAACTTTTAACTATGCCGGCGGAGTTACTAATTCCGTCCATAATCTCAGTCATACACCCTGTCTTTGTGGCTCCAACAACTGTTCTGGCTATCTGCCTCATAATACTATTTAAGACTGTTAAGCTTTTTGATAAATTTATCGAAATACTATTTAAGACTGTTAAGCCTTTTGATAAATTTATCGAAAAGCCTTCAGTGAATTTGTATGACTGGAAAGAATGGAATCTGGATTGATCATAGAGTTGTGTAAATATAAAAGAGTTTTGGTAATTTGTATTTATTCGTTGTTAATTTATCGTTTATCGAGAAAAAAAAAATATATATATAATATTATTTTGCAACAAGTTAGTATCCTGAAAGAATATTATTTTTAGTAAGAAATGAATAGTTGAATATCAAATTCGTGATATTATGTTTGTTATAGCGTGTAGAAAATTAGTGTGCTAGTAGTATAGAAAAATTATAATTTTTTCTTATTAATATAGGAAAATAGCAGAGTAAAGGAATGTTACTTTGATCATTATAATTATATTTTCTATTACAGCCTTCTCGTGTGTTCGTTTACGCTGATACATATTAGAAAAAATAATGGGGATAGGGATATTTTTATGAATATAACAATTGCTAACTTTAACATATTGTAAATTAAAAAAAAATCATTACAAGATTGTGATTCTCAGTAGATTTAAGGATATAACGTGAATTATAATTAAGAAATGATTTATCATAAGATCATGATTTTATAGTGAAATTAAAAAAAGTGATGTACTAATATATTACTCTAACTAAAACTATTAAGAATGATACAATATCATTGTTACTCGAGCCTCGATTTAATATTCTTTGTTATATACGTACCAAACATTTTTGTAATAACTGATATATGTTAAAAACATATTATATAAGAATGCGTGTATAGCAAAACAGTTAAGCACAGTATATATCAATTTTCCAACGAAATAAAACATTCGTGCGTTTTAAGTAACACCAATGTTTTTAATAATGTAATTTTACTCTATACAAATATTTGAACACAGTTTTTTTAATCTCCATATTGTTAGGTATAAATAATGTGCAGTGCTGACAATAAAGTGGAGTATGATATACAGAAAAACAAGTCTCGGATTTATAAAAATCTTTTCAATTTATTAGAATATATATCCGATACGTCAATTAAAAAAATTGACCTTTAGGAGATTGATTGAAGTTTATATTTTAACTTTAAAATTGATTTTTTATAATTGTATAATTAAGAAAAGCACTAGAGAAGCATCCAATATTCTTTTCGTTTCTTAAACATTAGTGAACTTCTTTGGTTTGTCGTTTAACTATGTTTCCTGTATTTTAAAAACTGTACATTACGTAAAGGTAATACGTAGAACGAGCATAAAATTAACCATCAAGCTAATATCTTTTTGTTCTATTAACTTCTATTTTTTTTCTTCGTTTTTCGTAGCGTATTCCGATTCTTTCGACTCGTTACGATATTTCCAACGCATCCATGCCACCCTCATGCGATCCCAAATGTTCTCTAACGAATCCATAGCTGGTCTAACATCTAGTAACGTGAATGTAAATTTTTCATCAACTGCACCACCATCATAATAATCTATAACGTATCGTACATCCTTTCCGCATCTGTCTACGATCCAATCATGCCGGTCAAATGGTAATTCATATCTAAAAAAAAATAGGTCCACGTTTATTAACCAAACTCATCAAGGATAATCGTGAATCATTCTTCTTGATAACCATAACTCACCCCAACCAATATCGGATGCGAGCGCGTGGTGAATACTGCTTGGCCTTGCCTCCAAAGCTACGCAATTTCGGAGTACAACATTCTTTTGCATGAAGAGCCTCCCACTTAAGCACTTCTTGCCATGCTAGTTCGTTATTGGCATTGTGGATTTTTATTATGTCATCCATGTCTTTTGGTGTTATGTCGTCTTTTTGCCATCTCCAGCCTTTCCTCAGCATCGCATTCCAGAACATTTGTTGCGAAGGATACACCCAAAACTCTCCTTCTCCCACTGCTTTTGGTATAGATGAAACTTGTCTCTCTGTGGGCAGTGGGAAAGGCTGATCTGGTGCTGGTTGTTGATTAGCTGGTGGCATCTAGAATTTTATTTAAATTACCATTCAGAGGAAATGAATTAATACCAAGAGGCATTCTAAAGATATTCTAAATTGTGTTAATTAGGATATTAACCATATTAAGGGGATTAATGTCTCCTGAAGCCATGTCATTAATTGGACATTCACTGGGATACGTAGATGGTGTTTTGTCCTGTGCAGATTTGTGCATAGGACATTCTGGAGGAGGTTTTCCATCGGGTTTGTGTATTCCATGATATGGAGCGTTTGAGATCTGTTGCTGGTGCGTTGGGATAATTGCATCAGCTGCCAATACAGCAGAATTCATTACATTACCCATCTTCCTTTGTTGTAGAATTTCTGCAACAAGTATTTGAAATTAGAATACTTATGTTTTCATTCAAGAAAATAAAAATTACGACCGTTGGAAGTATAACCTATAAATAGATTATGCAATAACCTACATCTTCTGTTGTTTCAATGTCACAATTAGATATGTTAGAGTAAGTAATGAAAATATAGTAGAGTAAGTGAAATATTCTCGTGTTTTGGCAAAGGCGAGGTTTTAATACTTACATAGAGCTATGAACATGTGATATCGTTATTTAAGTAAATGTATTTGATCATCTATTTTTATCAAATTAGGGGGACGTTTCAATAAATTACGATGTTTCTAAATATATTAAATAAATATTAAGAATAAGAGATATTGTCCTTTAAAGAATTGGAACATCTCAATTCCGAATTCTTCAAACGGTTTAGGATTGTGTCACACTTCACACTGTTATTTCTAGCAGTACTAGTAACAGTGATCTCTGTTAAGGTCACGATAATTTCCCCTAAAAGTAGGGAACTTTCTAGATTTTACAACAAACGTTCGTGAATAATTTGAGGCAACCTTTTAACAAAAATTTATTCTATTTTCATATCTGTACATAAATATGTTTGTAATAATATGTAATTAATAATTCCACTAAGTTTTAGGAAGTTATACGTTCTTCTATTGGTAAAACTTTAGATTCAAATTTGAAATTTTTGACGTAAGAAATTTATTAGACAGTGAATTATTTTTTAGTGCTTTTTTATTAAAATACATATAATATGTACACTCAGTCCGCAGATTTTAGTATGCGAATAGTGACGTTATCGTTAGATTTAAACCATCTTTTATTATATGTACAAAAGACATCAAACTTCGATAAGAAAATTGCGTTATTAATAAGATAATATTTTCTCAGTAACAACAATAATTTCAGGATAATCGATAAATTAGAAATAGTAATTTCTAACGCAAAAGGACTTTCCACTCGCATAATTCTTTAACCTACAATACTGTAAAAACAAATCAGAGAAAGAGAACAGATCTATCGAAATACATACTCGTTATTATTAGATTTTAAGAAATCGCTATTTATATTATACTTAAGGCGATCTACTCTTTACAACAAAACCGGTTTTCAATATATTCTTCTTCTACTATCATCGAAAGCCGATTTTGACAAATACACTGGCCACTATTATTCATAAATTCAGCAAGTTCCGTAGCTTCGCGGAAATTGAACCTATTCAATCGTGTGGCATAGATGTGTGTTCTCAAAGGATTCGATTAAAGCAAAAAGAATCAATTCCTTGCGATCTTCGTTGATTCCTTGTTTCCGGTTACGTGTTCCAGATCCAGACTATCGTATTCTAGTCCAGCAGTGTTATCATAATAGGCATAGTCGTAGTCATTTTTTTTCCCAGATTTTGGCCGCGTTGTAGTGGTACTAGGTAGCCTCGTCGTGGACGAAAACGGTCTGGCAGACCCACTAACATAAGTACTTTCCCTAGGAGTTGTTGGTGATTGTGACGATCTTTGGGTATTAGAGTTGAAATTGTTGGGATTGTACGTGGTGGCTGTAGAAATTCTCCTATGTAAAAATAGTAAAGTAGTAATAGTAATAATAGCAAAATGATAAAAACTGTAAGAATATGTAAAAACGTATTTTTTTAGATAGAGAGAACGTTGGCTCGAGTTTAGAAGTCCATATTGCGTACTAATCTATCTAATACCTTGGTACCGGAGTCGTAGACCTTGGTGTTTCAGCCAAATGATTGATACTAGCAGGGCTGAATCCAATTCCAACCGAAGACCTTGCTAGATCGTAATTTCCGGTGCTGGTTTCGGTGTAGTATTTCCCATTTGTTCCATCGTAATTGTTGTATTGCGTGGCTTTCTTCGATGCTTTGGTGCTGTCGTAGTATTGAGACGAACTTTTGATAGGTTGGTTAGATTTTTCGTAGTACTGTCCGCTTTCGCTGGTCCTCACAGCTGTTTGAGCCTGGGCATTGTCATTAGGAATATACTTCTTCGTGGCTGGGCTATATGTAGTAGGGGCGTAACTGCTGCTTGCAAAACTAGGGAAGTATTTAGTGGTTGGTTGAGAGACATCCTGCTTGATGGTTGTACTACTTCTGTACTGTCCATTATTATTGTTGTTATTGTAATTATTGTTGTTGTTGTTATTATAATTATTATCGTAGACGGTAGGTGTAGCAGTGGTAGACTGATAAGGTACGTTATTATTTGTACGTTGAATATTATTGTAATTTCTCTGGTAGTTTGTGTAATCGTTTGGCTGGTAATTGGTGCTAGGTTGCAAGGTTGTGGATTGCGTAAACTGCGCGCCGTTATTATAATTCTGATTGTAATTCTTATTATAGCTGGTCGGCTTCACCGTGGTACTCTGACTGAAGCCACCGGTATTTTGTTGGTTGTAATTGGAATTGGTGTTGTAAGCGTTGTAAATGGTCGTTTTGGTCGTCGTGCTAGGAGACTGGAAGTTGTAATTATTCTGATAATTGGTGCTGGGCCTGTACGTCGAAGACGGCGTGTTATATCTCTGCGTATTTTGTTGATTCCTGTTGAAATTCTCTAGAGGCCTGGCACTGGTCGACGATACGAAACCATTGGCTCGCTGATTGTAATTATTACCACTATAGAAGCCGGTATAAGTGTTCTGATTAGCAGGAGCAGCGGCAGGTACAGCAGTGCTGGATGCTACGTAATTGTTGTTGCCATTGTCATTGTACTGCTGTTTCCTGCTGACCTTTCTCACTCCGGTCTTCTTTTTTTCTTGAACAATCTCGTCTTTGTAGGTTTTCTCGCTCTCATAATCCTCATCCTTGCCGTTTCTATTATTGTAAAAATTGCCACTGCTGCTGCCTCGGAGATCCCTGTTGGCGTTAAAGCTTCCCGACGACACTCTGTTGAGAGTGTTGGCCGACGAACGAACAGGGTCACTCGTTTCAGACCGTTGAAGATGGTCTTGGGGCTCGGCGTCGCTGCGTATGCTATCGTAGTGAAGCGACTCCAGGCCGGATCCTAATCTGTACAGGTCAAAATTATCGCTGGCGTAGTACAGAGTGGCCGCCTCGCAGTCGACGTCGTACCAGTCCGCGCAGGTTTGGCTTTCTTGGTCGAACGCTGTGTCGTTGGGACACAAGAACCTTGAAAAAGAAAACAAGAAAAAGAAAGAAAGAAAAAACAACAGATGCTTATAATAAATCGTTTTGAACGCGTTGGTGGGCGGAATATTAATTTTTCTCACAGAATAACCTACTTGTAATCCTGAATAGTGCCGGACACGGACACACAGACGTGAAAGACTTGACAGTCAGTCTCTGGGTCGGCGTAATAGCTTCCTACGATCTTATTGCGACAAGTGAAGGAAGTTTCCGGCATGTACTGTTGCGAGTACCTGGGTGGTGGCCGTTGGAGCCCGAGGACACAGGCTCCGAGCGCAGCCACTGTAACAAAATGCGAATCATCGAAAAAAGGTCGTAGACTTTCGCTTTCCATAATTAATTTCACCAGCAACGAGAAGGGAAAATCGCTCGGCAACCAGTGGCTCGTCACGCTTCGCGCTGATGCTTCTTTTTTCGCGCGTTTACGGCATGTTCGCAGAATCGTATTCGCGACACGCGTCTCTTTCCGTTCGAAGGATCGCGACAGAGAAATTCGCCGAAGCACCCGTGAAATTCAGTTAAATCTCCAAGGTTTCGTCTAAACGTACCCCATACAAGGCAAACGAGTCTCCCGATCGATTTCATCCTGTCTTCTTCTTCGACTAAACCGTTCACTACAGCAGTTGATCCACAAGATAGCTGACACTCGCGCGTTACCTTCGCGAAGGGACTCTTCGAGATGACTGCAGCGTCGAGGAGAACGCCACGACCGAGAAGAGGATGCCCAGCGGGGAACGTTCCACGGGAGGACGCCTCTGGGGCCCATGGACGAGGTAGGGGCTCTCGTCTATCCAGGAGAAGGCACACGTGTCTGATGGGGGTAGAGGACGTAACGAAGCGTTACGTCACTCTCCGCTCGATCGCCGAAGGCAGATGCTACCAGCCAGTGACGACCTGCATAGAGAAACTATTGATGAAAGCTGCGGAACGATCGTAACCTCGCATTCTTCTCATCTTCCTATAAAGTTTGTTTTTCGAACATTCTGAGCTCCTCGCTGACGTCTTTTTAAGCACAGTCTGGCGATCTTCGGAGCTCAGAATCTGAAAGGGGAAGAGAGAGAGAGAGAGAGAGAGAGAGAGAGGAAGAGGAAGACTATGGAAACACGTAGATTAATACGTGTCTTCACACCTTATGTATTAAGACAACTATTTATAAGAAGAGCCTAATAAATTTGACTTTTATAAGAATGAACAGCACGTTATAAGACTCGTATGACGCGAATAAAGTAACAGATCTACGGTGAGATTAATCGAGGAATAAACGCAGTGGACCAGCGTTCGATTTCTGTCAAATATCATCGAGAATACCAATATCTATGGCCGGCGGTTTAATTGTTTCACAATTGTTTCGATTATTCATTTGATGTAAGTTGAGGAACCTGCGAGTTCTGCGATCTAGGACAAGCCTAGCCGATCTTTAGAGAAGGTTTACCCGTTCCTATGACAAATCGACGTTGCTGTTAGACTCTCTCGGATGACAAATCGATGGGTTACGAAGGCGACAGGCAGTAAAAGTCGCTTTCTATTAAATCATTCGGCGGCACGTAGCCAGGACACGGGTTGCCAAAGCCCGGAAAAATCGTCGATCGACAGGAGATCTTAGCTCCGAAAGTGTCTACAGTTGAAGATACCGATAGAGATCTGCGATCGTATGAATTGGTCGATACCATGGAAATCGGTGACGGTCGGAGCGTGCTGAAATCGACACAGGAATCGTGGTGTACGCCGCGACCGGTCGTCTCTTGCCCTTTGCCAGCTCGAGATCGAGTCTCGACCTCTGGAAAAGGCGCATCCAAGGAGTGCTGTGTCGCATTCCAGCGATGGACCGACTTCTCTCGTTGCCTGGAACCTGATCGTCCTACGGTCCGAGAGGAATCAAAGGGTCGGAGAGCGGCGAAGGATAAAGGGAAATCGAGAGGAAGCACGAGGAGGCTGAAGATCGAGGTCGTACCTCGACAATCGAAATTTTGCAATTCCCCTCGCATTCTGTTTATCCTGCGTGAAACGGAGGTGGTTTCCGGCACGTTTGAGAACATCGTCGACGATAAAACGAGGCTTACGCAAGACTCTTGGATCGAATATAACGAATATGAACGTATACATACAGGGTGTCCCAATATTGATGGTACATCGTGGACGGGCTGATTGTACATGAGAAAATAAGTCGAATATATGGAATAAATTTGTTTTCGAGAATAGCGATCCGTCTAACATAATCAAATTCACGCGTATTTGGCAGAAATTCAAAGTCGATTTTCTCGAAAGCAAATTTATTCCAAAAAATGTATTCGATTTATGTACAACGATCCCCTCCACGGTTGCACCATCGAACCTGTGACACCCTGTACATTGCAAATATATCTGACGCTCAATGTATTCTAGCGAAGCTTCGTATTTCGTATTGGATAAACGTGTATCTTTTTTCGAAAATTGTTATTGTCATCTTTTACATACGCTGTTGGAATCTCAAGTAGATGAGCGGAAAAGAAGCGAAATTGTGTTGCACTAGCGGAAGCACAAGTAAAGGACAGCAGTGTCGAATATATTTATTAGCGTCGACTGATTCTGTTGCGATGAAAATTAGATTTATACTGTTTTGGCTGTTCGCAAGAGATCTATCTCTCTTCTGGCCGTAAATAAGAGCTAATCGAAAGTTTCATCACAGACAGCGGCTATTCCGTTTTTCAATGACCATCTGCGTCTCTATTACGCGCGATGAGCTCGCGACGAGGAATCTTCTCAGCCTTGGAGGGCGAAAGTTGCCTTCGACTCGTTCTTAGATGGCACGATATTTGCACCTACAGCCGGAGGAACGTGACCATAGTGGGAGATGGATCGGCTGGCTCCTTGTAATTTTACTTGGCTTCCTTTTTTCCCATCATCTTCGATATCTATTAATAGAGATCGTGAAAACCGTACATGGATCATCTCGGCCTTCGCGCAGTTTTCAGTTTTCTATCGTTCCATCGATGGAAGCTCGGATGCGATTTCGCTTTCCTTTTTAAAGCCGAAGGTCGCCTGAATTTGTATAAAATACGTCCGTAGAATATTCAGCGCGGATACCGATACCGAATTCACGGATACGGTGGCTGTAAAAAACACTGCCACGTGTCTTTATTTTCCAGCGAAGCACATTCTTCTCAGATTCTGCGTTTTACTTTCCTGCCAAATTTTCGGTACGAAAGTATTACCTAATTTTAATGCAAAATTCAAAACACTTGCACCTAATTGATAAATAACGATTAATACGAATACGATGGCACTGTATACCAGACACACGTTAGACACACGAGGAGAGGCTCGAAAACGCTTCCGTCTTTTTTGCCCATATCGCGACCGCCTACGAGTATGAACGTTCGTCGTGACATTCTTTGCCAAGCGTCGAACCGATGCGATGGAGAAAGCGGGGTCATGGGTGCACAGACAGGCCATTTTCCCGCCAGGATATTTATCAGGGATGCTACGAACCTGATAACTCCATAGGCGATTATTAAATTGTATTTATTGCAAATGAAAGCGTCCTTATCTAAAACAAAAGGCTTATCTAGAAGCGAACTAGACGCTTATTGTCAGTCTCACGATCCGGTGCGATGTCTGCATCGATCATTGCGCGAGGATCATTCACTCGTCGTCGATCGTTCTACGTTGGAGTTCACGACCGCAATAGACGAAAGTATTCGTACGTTTAGCGCAAAAGATTCTTCTGCGTGTATCGTATAGAACATTTTGAAATTTACGTAACGAGACATCGTCATGGTTACACTGGTGTTTGAGACCAATACAAAGATATACACGTGGTATACGTATAGAAACGAGGATAAGCATCTTAGGCGTGTTAAGGATGATCCTATGGAATACCGAAGTTTATTTTAACGTAACGAATAATCGTTTGTTCGGTATACTACGATCTCCGCGAAATATACACTTCGATGGATACAATTTTCAAATTTGCTTCGAACATTGCGAATATAATGGCGATACGCGAGTCTCTTAACGGTGGTAACAGAAGCTTCAGAATGTTTCGCACGATACACTCAGAAATTATCTACACACGTTGGAATACTTTCGCGAACTTGTGTACACGTGGAAGAAAAAAAAGCTCGGTTTTACACGACTGTCGGCGAGGAATGATATTACGTAGATTTGCATAGCGATTTGGAGAAGAGAGAATGTTGCTCGTTACCCAAGCGGATACAAAAAGGTGCTAAGCGTATGCGGGAACACACTCGACTTCCGTCAGACCGGTGCACCTCTTCGTCCAGCCACCGTCTCGCTATCTTTTTTAACACTTTCGCGTGTGACGCGTCTTTCTCTAAACCACGGCAGATAGCGAGTCCATTTACAGCATGGAATTCGAATGGGACATCGGCTTGTTAATATTCAACGATCCTTCGTCTTCTGGCATCCTTTTTTACACGTTACACGCGAGATATTCGAGCAGGTAGTCGTATAAAAATATCTCGAGCGCAGCTATTTTTGTATTTGTAATTTTCATGCTCGATCGAACGAAGAACGAAAGGTGGCGGCACGAAAGAGCGAACGCGATTAGATGTACGGCCTTGGCGTGCACGAGCTCCCGTTTTTCCTATTTCCCTTCGTACGCGTTCCTCTTCTAGCCCGAGTCGAGCTAGTGAAAGCTGGCTGGAACATCTCCAGCGTCCTCCGGCACGTGCACTCGAATCCTCCTCACGAATCGACGATTTATCGCGTTGAAAAGGCGAAAGCAATAGGAACTGGAGCACAGATATATCGACATCACGACTATCGTATCCATTGGTCGATGCTCCGCTGGTGAAATCAGCCGCTGAGTCGGTTAATTCTGCATCGAACTTTTCGTCAACGTTTCGTAATATCGAAAGATATTCGGACAATTCATGATGTTCAAATTTGTCTATTTATTTATTCCATAGGACAGATACGAATACAAGATAATATACAGGGTGGTTGGTGGTATAAGCTGCAAAGGGGTGATTCTAGGCGAAAAAAGAAGTCGAAAATATAGAATAAAAATTTTTTTTAATTTTTCCATAGAGACAACGATCTACAGTGAGATCCGTTCTAACGAGACGCGATAAAGTGCACGCGTACCGAGCGAAAATTCAAAGTCGATTTTCTCGAAAACAAAGCCTCGAACGAAAAATTGTTATTCTATATTTTCGACTTCTTTTTTCGCGTAGAATCACCCCCCTTTCCGCTTGTGCCACCAGTTAACAACCACCCTGTATATATAATATAACAACTTCGAGAGCTGATTATAGCACGTAAAAGCGATGAAAAGGTCCATGTAAACGTATGCTGTGTCTGTGTCCGTTAATGAGACGTAACGAATTTTGTAAAAAGAGCAAACGCTCGTGAAAACGTCGAGAGACTAACGTTCAGGATAGAACAAGCTTTTCAACAAGTTCGGAAAATACCAGCAACCGGTTCGACGACAGAAGGAAAGTCAGATGCTAATTTCGAGTATCTTCCGTAAAGAAGCTAAGTTCGTATGAACTTTCTTCGTTGTTTTTAAGTGTACGATCAAGTGCCGAAGTGGATTCTACGCGTTCTGTTACATCCTGTATAATGGCAATTATCGTGTACATAGAAATGAGCGTCGGGCAAGAAATAAGCAGAAGCAGAAAAGGCAAAAAGAGAGGCAGAAGAAAGTTCCTTTCTTCGCGTTTGAGTCGATCCGGAATGGAAAAGAATTCAGGATCGATTTTGCATGGTTGAGGAATTCAAAGGGAAAGAAACGGCCAAGCTGCTG